GGCTGCCCCTCGCCGCAGCCAGAGAGGGAAGGAAGCCGGGAGAAGCAGCCCTACCCGCCGGGAGGCTTTTGAATGCAATCGGGACGGCGGGCAGCCCGCCCCTCGCCCCGCCTCGCGGGATGGCGGCGAGGGGAGCGGCCGTTTCCCTCTGCCCGCTGCTCCGCCGGGGGAAGCAGGGGCAAGACCAGGAGCGCACAAACCTTCCATCCCCGCTGCCGGTTGCGGCGGAGTGGGGACGTTACTTCGCCCGTCCCTCAGGGCGCGGGGGGCCTGCGCGTGCGGAGAGCCCGCGGCAGCCGCGCTCTCGTGTCAGGCCGCGCCGCCATGTCGGGCTGGGCCGGGCCGCCGCCGCTGAGGGGGAGCTCTCCGCCCTCACGGGGAAAGAGGACCCCTTCTCGGCTGCCGCGGCCCTGCCGCCCTTCTGGATGGAAACACCTAACTTTGAGGCCGTGCTCGTGAGGCGCCAACGCGGGCCCTCGGCGCTGCTGCCGCCAGCTTGCCCCGGGCAGGCAGAGCTAAAACGCTCCTGAAACGCCTCAGAAAAGCCCGAGGGTTGTTCTGAAGGACAAGTCTCACCCACAACTTAGGGTTTGTTCGTCTGCAGAATTCAGCACCTGGCTTGTAAGCTTTCACCTGCAAGAAGGTGAGGTTTTACAGTCTATTAAAAGGATTTTTTTTTCTTAAGTAATTTACATTTCAGTCCAAGTTAATGCATTGCTTTCCAGACACCTTTGAATTTGTCCACAAGAAGTTGACATTGCACGTGCAGATGTGATGATGTTAAATATTTTAAGGAAATGACATGTAAGGAAAAAGCAGCCAAATAGTCTGCAGAACAGCAATTTACAGTGGAGGTGCTGAGGGAATTTGCAATACAAACAAGGCTGGCAAAAATGCTTCTACCTGCTACCACAGGCATGTGAATGGTAGCCCTTTGCAAGAGTCCTAAATCCTACTCCTATTACTATTTTATGTGGTACTTGTTAATATATTAGCTGATGAGCATTAAATCGTGAATTATTAAATAAATTTATTTCTTCCAACTTAATTAAGTAGCAGATTGACAAAACACCCTCCATATCAGCCCCGAAAATCAGCCCCGCAGCAGATAACAATGCTGCAGACATGCAGACCTGCCTGTGGCTTTATTTCTTGCTCTGGGGAACCTGTGACTGGCATTAAATGTGCTATGGTGTGGGGGCAAGACTTAAGGATCCTTCTCTAATACGTGCATGACAAATTCCACAGTTCAAGGGGCCTAAACTTGCTCTTACTAAGTTTACTAAGTTACTTTACTAAGTTTATTAAGCACACTGATTAGCAAATTGAATTAACAGTGGACAGCTTAAAACCAGAAACCCTTTCCTATGCAGCCCTATTTAAACAGTGGAAATCTTTGCCAGGTGATACTGCAGATGTCAGTTACTCAGGTTTCAAAAAGAAATTGGACAAGGTTGTGGAAATAAAAAACAAGCAAGGGCTATTAACTGCCAAGACAACACTTTTTGCTCAAGAAGGTCCTGAGCTGCAAAACACAGGGGAAATACACTGAGAAAGCTTGATGCCTACTGGCGCAGCTCTTCCATCTCTTCCCCAGGCATCCCCTAGTGGCTGCTCTTTTTTTTCCCCAGGCAGAGCACAAACACAGTGCCACCCCCTTCCTTGCCTTGCAATGATACAGAGGCATTTCTTGCTTTGGGGAAAATAGCAGGGGTCAGTTCACCTCAGGGCTAGGGACCAGCCTCATTTCAGGAAAGCCACTTTCTTCACCAGGGTATCACTCTTGCCACATAATAGAAGAGGAGTTGGGTTAGCAGGACTTTGAGTCAGTCCTGGCATGGCTATGTTCACTTTGTGAAGGTCACTTTTCACACTCGCCTGGCCATACCAGCAGGTAAGCCCTGGGTAGGTGTAACTGGAGGAAAGGCAGGCAGTAGATCTGCATTTCTCAAAGCAGAGCAAACAAGCAGCAGCTCTACTGGAAGCATGGGGTTGCCATGATGCCTGCCAGGCAGACACCCTCAGAAATCAAATCCAACTTGACTACAAGCCCCACAGCTGGAATGAAAGGTGGGGAAGTGCTAAGCTTGGTGGTCCTTTTGCCATAGAATTAATGAGAATGGCCATAAGCATCTAATGCTGCTAGGAGGGGCCATTCCCAAACTCCAGCCTTCCCTCAGTGACTGCCCACCTGGCTTTCCACTGCTATGGCAAAGACATGGTAGGTGGCAGAACCATGTCCACCACCTTTACCTCTTGTACCTGCCCAGGCACATGCCTAAAGTGTGGGCTTTGGAAAGGGAGCGGTGAAATGAAATACAGAAGAGAAAGCACAGCACAAATTCTGTAAATACCAAGTAGGCTTTTTTCTGGAAAACATCTGTGTCTCATGATGATACATTTGCTTTTATGTTTTCTTAGGCCATCACAAAGAGAGGCAACATTATGATCATGTCTCATAAACCCATTCCTATTGTTTATTAGGTAATCAGTTAATAACATGAGAAGTACATTCCCAACAAGGAGGATGGCTCATTCGATTCAGAACTATAGCCTGCAAACGTTCCTAATCTACAAAATCCAATAGCCTCTTACTGACTTGTTAGTCATCATGATGCATTGGCTACCATCAGCAATCCTGTGCAAGATGTGCCCTGCATCCATTGGAAGGACAACAGCAGGATTTAGGGAGTTGTGTTGGGATTTCTTGGCTGTTAGAATTTCTCCTAATACTGTAAGCAAAAACATAACATTGATGAAAGAACAAGTAGCAGGATCCCAGCTATATGCCATAAACACTGCAAATGGAACCCCAGATGGGCTCTTGGGAGGTATCAGGTCTAGTTTTTCACCATTCCATACGGTGGAATGCTGGAGCAGTGGAAGCTGATGGCTTCTTTTACAAGCAATTAGATCCATCAGAAAACCCAGTGAATAGTCTCTGCCTCCCTTGTTAGCAAGTCTTCAACAAGTTGTTTCTTGTTAGCAAGACTTCAGCAAGGCCTTTGACACTGTCTCCCACAGCATTCTCCTAGAGAAGATGGCGGCTCACGGCTTAGACAGGTGGACTCTGCGCTGGGTCAAAAACTGGCTGGACGGCCGGGCCCAGAGAGTTGTGGTGAATGGAGTTACATCCAGTTGGCGGCTGGTCACGAGCGGTGTTCCCCAGGGCTCAGTTTTGGGGCCGGTCTTGTTTAATATCTTTATCGATGATCTGGATGAGGGGATTGAGTGCACCCTCAGCAAGTTTGCAGACGACACCAAGCTGGGCGGGAGTGTTGATCTGCTCGAGGGTAGGAAGGCTCTGCAGAGGGACCTGGACAGGCTGGATCGATGGGCCCAGGCCAACTGTATGAGATTCAACAAGGCCAAGTGCCGGGTCCTGCACTTTGGCCACAACAACCCCATGCAGCGCTACAGGCTTGGGGAAGAGTGGCTGGAAAGCTGCCCAGCAGAGAAGGACCTGGGGGTGTTGGTCGACAGCCGGCTGAACATGAGCCGGCAGTGTGCCCAGGCGGCCAAGAAGGCCAATGGCATCCTGGCCTGTATCAGAAATAGTGTGGCCAGCAGGAGTAGGGAAGTGATCGTGCACCTGTACTCGGCACTGGTGAGGCCGCACCTCGAATACTGTGTTCAGTTTTGGGCCCCTCACTACAAGAAGGACGTTGAGGTGCTGGAGCGTGTCCAGAGAAGGGCAACGAGGCTGGTGAGGGGTCTGGAGAACAAGTCTTATGAGGAGCGACTGAGGGAACTGGGGTTGTTTAGCCTGGAGAAAAGGAGGCTGAGGGGAGACCTCATCGCTCTCTACAACTACCTGAAAGGAGGTTGTAGCGAGGTGGGTGTTGGTCTTTTCTCCGAAGTAACAAGTGATAGGACAAGAGGAAATGGCCTCAAGTTGCGGCAGGGGAGGTTTAGATTGGATGTAAGGAAAAATGTCTTTACTGAAAGAGTGGTGAAACATTGGAACAGGCTGCCCAGGGTAGTGGTTGAGTCCCCATCCCTGGAGGTATTTAAAAGACGTGTAGATGAGGTGCTTAGGGACATGGTTTAGTGGGCATGGTGGTGTTGGGTTGACGGTTGGACTCGATGATCTTAGAGGCCTTTTCCAACCTCAATGATTCTATGATTCTATGATTCTATGTTTCCAACTAGCCACTCAGCAGTGAAACTCAATGCCTAGAAGCGTAAAAGGATCGTTTATCTTGAAACTGATAACCCAACCTGAAGGTGCAGGTTTAACCTATTCTCTGTGTTGTTTTGTTGGGGTTGTTTTTTTTTTTTTTAAATTTCTCTCAGCTCAGCAGCATTGTTTCTAAGCAACAGGAGAAAGCTGCAGTCCTGCGTGAAGCCATAGCCTAATTTCCCTGGCACACAAACTGAGTGGCAGAGGCAAGAAAGGAACAGCAGCAACACCAAGAGGGAATTCCTCCTCATAGACACCTGAAGTCAGAGAGGCTCCAAACTCAGATCCTGAGGCCTATTCCAAGAGTTGACACAGGTAGTGCATGATTTCTTGTGTACATGTATGAGAGAGAGAATAGGGGGACAATATCCAGTAACACAGAGAGCTTACTAGGTATGTCATTACTTTGTGTATTATGGAGCAGAGGAGTGAAGCATGCACTTTGATTTTACAATAAATTGGTGTGCCAGGTGCTGGCTGCTGTCATTGTTGTGTCCTGTCAGGCCAGCTGTTACCTCATCTCTTCCAGCCTGTCCTCTTCCCAGTCCATCCCCTCTTTGTACCACATAGATCTGATTAATACACACACAGCAGGGAGACCAAGCCATGTGCTAAGAAACTCAGAAGTGGTAGCAGGTCAATAGATTGCATTATATCAGAGAATATACATCGCTGTGGTGGGGATGCAAGCAACCTGCAAGCTGACACTCAAGATTGATGCTCATCTTAAATGGGCTCATTCTGCCCATTTCCCATTACCAAACTCCTTACCCTCACTTTCATTACTGTGCGTGTTGTCTTCTCTTTCTTGACTAGATTTTTCTCAACTTTTATTGCAATCCTACCTGGGAAATGGTTTTGGCCAGATTTTTGTAGGGGGTCTCCAAGCATCCCATACTCTTTATCTGTGATTCAGATTTGCTCACTGACAGAGATACTTGGTAGGATGCACTTTTCTCTCTCCTAGATCCCCTTGAGCTTATGTTACAGTGACAGCCAGAGTATGGAAAGAAAACATCTGAAGAAAGAGATTCAAAAACTCCTGTAAGTAGTAACTGCCCACAGCTGCCTTCATTGCATTTGAGATGGGCTTGTTTTTATTGCAAAGGGTTATATGACCTAGCTGGATGACAACTGTAAAACCTTAGTCTTCTCTTGCTGGAAAGTATGAACAGACTTCTTTTGAGATACTCTTCATTTTTTTACATGCAGTCTGCAGCGTGAGACCTGACTGCATATGTCACAGTAGAGATGTCACAGCCCAGAACTTGCTCTGTGTCAGTGGGAGTGACCAGGGAGGTGCAGAGTTCCTCCTTTGCCATGCAGCCAGCACCAGTCTCCTAGTTCATGCAGCAGCATCTCATGCTCTTGGATGCAGGAGTGCCCAGCAGACAACTCCTAGGGGATGTAAGCAGTGTCCCCTCTATTCCATACAAGTCCTGTGCCCATCTTCCCTAGGACTGCTTGCATGGCTCAGTAGTACTTAGTCTGAGGAAAGATTGCAGAATCAGGCCTCCCCTGAATGAGAAGAACAAGCAGCAGTAAAGCATCTTTTTCAGTCTCTTGCCTGTACAAAGAAGTCCTTCTGTAGTCCCCAGACTTTAAATACTTGATTCATATTTGTACCTCTTCCTGTATTTTGGAGCCTTTGGGGAAGACAGCGGTGTGGTTTGAGGGAAGCTAAGATTAGCAGTGATGCAGAAAACTAATAGCTTTCCTACTTAGGAGGTGTCTGTGAGAAATCCTGCAGCAGATCCCTAGCCCTGAATCATAGCAAATTTGCACTAGCTTTAGAGTCATCTATGACATTTCTTATGCACTGGATTGCTTAGAACCAGTTGTAATTTGGAGTTATTTTCTTGCTTTAAGGGGAGATTATGTTGGCATCAGACTACGAGAAAATGAATTTGATCCAAGAGGACAAAGGCAGCCCACCTTTCTAGATGACATGGTAACCACCAGACTTCTTACTTCCTATCCTTTTTAACTGCAGGGCTACTGAGAACTCTGAAGGATGGCTGAATAACCTGTTCCTACAATGATCAATAAAAGCCCATTACTGAAATGAGTATCTAAAGAGATTGGCTGTGAATAGCATCCAGGTGTAATGTATCCAAGACAATTCAAGTTTTTGCTGATTTTTAAGCAAGACAAAGCTCATCCACAGAGGACATTTGATAAAGTTCAAGTCAACTAACCAAAGGGAATTCTTCACAAACTAAAGCTGTCTATGCATAATAAAATGTCTTTCAGCTAAGCTGAGGAAGTCTTCCTGGGTGTGTTTAAAACCCCTCAAACCTCAGCAAGTGTCTTACAACTGGTGAGCTACCCAGTGTAGTTGAGAAATACTGGGCTCCAGCTAACATTTCCCTGCATTTCTCTGGTCTTTCTGTCATCCCTCAGTCAAGCAATTACAGTAAAACAAACACATAAAGTTCTTCTGTCTTTCCAGGTCCATTACAACTTAGCCTTCAGTGTTGCTTTGCTGTGGCTAAGTGACTTGGATGCTCAGACTGCACTGACAAAAGAGAAAATGTGAGTATTGCAAAGCTAAGGCCCTGCTGTTGCAGTGGGTTACACCAGTGTGAAAATGGAGTAAAAACAGCAGTGAATCGAGCCCAGCACCAGCCTAATAATATTCTTGTTCAAAACGCCATACAGGAATTTTGCAGCTCGCAACCGATACGTGTATCCCAACCGAATTGAGAGAGAAGCTATGATATTATCTTCATATGCTGGAATATTAATGGTAAGAGAGCAAGAAAGATAGCAATATCTTTTGCTCTATGGCGTCTCTCTAGAAACACTCCCTGTACCCTGGATATCTTTGTTCATTGAAAGCACAGTATACAGACAGTGCAAATATCACAAATCTGTCTCATTTTTATCAGGTAGCCATTAGGTTTTGCTCAGCCTTAGAAAACAAAATAGGCAGTTTCAGTAGGTGGCCCTATGCATGCATATAGGTTACTTATCTTGACTCACCCAAGTGCAAAATGGTGAGCAAGTTTCAGGACCAGATCTCAATAGATTTGTACTAGTAGCATGAAACAATACTAGGAGTTCACATGAAAGCTGTTTCAGAGAACAAAGGAAGGGGATATGAGCTGGATTTCATACATTCACTTTAAAGAATACTACTTCTGAGAGCTGAACCTCTCTCTTTACCTGTCTTCACAGAACAGCATTCCTATTGAAGAGATCTTTGAGATTTACAGCATGAGGCCCACAGCAACACACTGGCAGAGCTCTGCAAATGTGAGTGATTTGTTGTTTTTTCAGCATCTCTAATAGGGGCCTGAGTGAAGATCTCTCTTACCTGTAGTGGCCTGGTCCAGCATGTAGTACATTGGGCTGGCATTCTGGGAATGCGATCCACACATGGATTATTTCTCTTCTCACTCAGAGTAAACACTGTTGAACTATTCCCTTCTCGCATCTGCCATTATGGCTTAGAGCCTTGTGGGTGGCCTTTCAGCATCATAACGAGGCATAAAGCCTCCATGTGCAGTTGTAGTTATCCAGGAGGTACTTCATGCCTGCTGCTAGTCTTGAGGGTGTGTGTCTGTCAAAGCTGCAGAGTACAGCACATTTCTTAATTGCTTGCAGATCATATTGTGTGTGGGTCTATTATTATAGCTACTGTTTACTATTTATTCCAGCTGTCCCATACTAATAAAGGAAGGGACTTCATTCTATGGAAAGCAATCACTACTGTTAGACCAGCAGTGTTTGGGGATACGTGGATGATAGCTGGCAGCATCCTACAATAAACTCTCATGTATCTCCTTGGTACAGCAGAATATAAGTGTTCAGGTAGCATTCAAGACCACAGGCTAGGCACGACAGTGTGAATTTTATCTGAAGTTAGTGCTTTCCTCTGGGATTGTCATCTGGCTGCCAAAGATGTACTTTGTCTGTGCCCAGTCTTCTTCCCCAGTCCACTCAGGTTTCAAATCAGAAATCATCAGGGGACAATACCTAACCTTTGCTAGCTCCTGGCCTCTGGTGCTGCCTTGCACTGCTTGGCCTCACCGAGGAGACAAAGTTGTTTTGGTGGGCAGTATACCCTGTAAGCAGTTGTGTAAAAAAGTAAAACTCTCCCTGCACAGCCCACCTCTTTGCTACAGTTTTTCTGCCCTCCTCTTTTGTAGGATCCTCTGCAGATCCTCATGGTCTCCTTGACTCATTCTTACTCCACTGTAAGCTGATAAATCTTCCAGCTAAGAAAATGTGCTGTAGGTCTGAGATATGGCATTCGTCAGAGGAACCAGAGATGTCAAATTTGGCTAGAGACCTTTAACCCTGCAAGACAGAGACTTCCTTCCATACTTCCATGGGGTTTTTGTAAGCTATTATATGCTGCTTAGCAGAGTGTGCCGACACTGCAGGTCTTAATCTGGGGTCATGTTTAGGCAGGTTCATACAATCAGTGCTATGTTTACAGAAGCCAACTCTCAGAAGGGCACTCTGACTCTTGCATAGGCATTACATGACACTGTTCAAGGAGATTCAGTATCTACATCCTAGGAATCTTTCCTGGATCCCAGTAAAGGATCAGAGATGGCAACTGTCAGACAGCCTTAAATTCTCCCGTTATTGCAGTGTGAAAAAGAGGAGAAAAAGAAAACAGTGCTAAGCCAATTTTTACTTGCAGTGCATTGCAGTCCTATGGAAGGTGGACACACAGATTAAACAGAACAAACCAGCAACTCTGTGACTGCAAGGTCATCTGTGTTACCTGTGCACCTCCAGGGAAAAGATGCTCTAGAGTCTGGAAGTATCCTTGTGCCAAATCATACAATAGTAACAGAAAACTTGCACAAGGTTTTACAATTCAATTATTGCAGAGATAAGAGGTAACATTACCCTGACTTGCAGATTAGATTAGACTATCTGACTTTGGGCAAGTCAATTAATCTCTGTCCTAGTCAATCTGTGGCACGGTCTGGGTCATTATTTGCAGCTAAAAGCCTCCAGAGAGAAGGAGGCTGTGTTTCCTTGGGCACAGTGCTCTGACAACATGGCCTGCCGCGAGCCCATACACCAGAGTTGTTTGGGCCTAGTCAGCTCTCACAACAGGCAGCAGAGTGTGTGCCTCCTGCTTCCCTTCATCTGAGATTTCTGAGAGTGTATTTACATAAGCAAAGGAATCTGATACCGTTTAAGACCTTCCAGACAAGTCACATCCCCGCTCTTTGGGAGTGAAACCTCCATGTGGAATGATCCAGCAGGTCTTAGGGAGCTTGCAAGACCTGAGCAGTTTTAGACATCAGGACAACTTCTGCATCCCCAGTTCAAATACCTTTCTGTTTATATTGGGCATAAATTGCAGGGTTTACTGCTTTCATGCAAGTTCACACATGGGTGCTGTGTTAGGCGTAAATGGCAGAGTTGAGGCAGCAAGGGCTGCAGTGGTGACCTATATGGGAGGAGACCATGAACTGTGTTGAGACCATGAACTCAACTGTGTTGAGTTGACTGTGCCAGTCAACTCAAACCCATGTAAGCAGCGAAGCATGAGCCAAAACTTCAGCCAGAGGAGCACATGGCACCTCTACTCAAACATATTTAAGAAAGAGCAGCAGCTACTAGGGAAGGAGACATGAGGACACATGTAACGAGACATGCGGGTTGACTATTAAGAGAGACTTGCTCTTGGAAGGAGGCATCCCCTCCATGCCATGGCCTGCGGGGACAGAAGCACAAAGGAAAAGTAAGAAGTACAGAGAAATGCCAGACAGAAGCCATTCACACATGAGCCCAACCTCCTTTGCTGCCCATCACCTCACAGAAGGAATTGGGGCAGACTGAATGTAACCATGAAAAAAACAAGGGAAGTTGAGACTAGGCAGGGGAGGAAAGGTGCTTACTATATTTAACCTCTAGAGTTTGACCTCTTGATGCTTCCCTCATTACACCACCACTGGGATCAGAAACCTTTGGCAGCATAAGGGCTACTTCTAAAATCCCTGCTCCATCTTTTTAGTCTAAAAAGTCACCCATTGCATGCTAGAATATTGGAATGATGTGCTCCTGGGTTTAGAGGTTTATGAAGGCTTTTTATTGGCGTGCCTCTTTCTGGCTTAAATGCCTGGCTGACCACAGACTTCATGGTTCCTTTCTGGCCTGCACACTGGGCGTGGGACTTTGCCAACCCAACCAAACAAAGTGCTAGTGCAGGGAAAGCACAGACACTTAAAAGCTCTTTGTCTTCAGTAGCTGACCTTCAGGGAGATGGTTTTGTTCTTCAAAGGGCAGAAGCAGCTTGTTTGGCTCCGTTGTGCTGTTCCCCTGTTGGACCTCTGCTGAAAATTATCCCCAGGCTACCAGAAAAAGAAACTGTGTATTTGGTCCATGCAAAACTGAATACAGCAGACAAATGTAACTAAGCAACCAGATAGATTAGAAAAAAAAAGCCTTCAGTAGACAAAAAGGGGATACTTACTCCAGCTTTACTGATCAGATCTCATCTTGGCCCTGCAGAGATTTCACCAGTTAAAACTCTTCAGTCCTATCCTGCCCTGATACTAATACCTATGCTTAGCCCCAGTCTTAAAGTGGTATCCCATTCCCAAACATACCTAAAAGGCTTTCAGCATTGCTGGCATCACACACCTTGCAGAATCTACCCCAAACTTTTTGATGTCTTCTGCCCTTTAGGTCTGAGAGAGATCACCAAAGAAGAGGTACCAGTTCAGTGGTACCAGTGACTCCTAGCTTTGGCCATAGCAATGGTAAGCTATTGGCCCCTTCTCCCACCAGCCTACTGCCTAGACTGGTGTGCTATGAGCAATAAAGGGGAAGGAATCTCCTGCTACATAAAGGCATAATGCATTTGGATCCTATAATATCTGTGCCTTTTAAAAAAAAAAGTTACATTTTAAACTCAAGTCATTTGCCCCTTTTGCTTTTGCCCCATTAGTAATAGCAAACTAGCTCCAGCCTTCTCTCTTTGAACATAGCAAAAAGCTGAACTATTCACCTCCTCCTCTACCTTACGCTGCACCAAGGAGAGGCAAGAAAAGGGCAGTCCAACTACTCACAACCACACTAAGGAGTAACCCAGCTCCTTGGCCTTTGACATAGTGCTTTACAGAGGAGCATTTCCACAAGTGTGCTCTAATTACCATTAATGTGGAGTGGGGAAGGAGGCTATGCAGGTCCGAGGAGATACAGCCTGCTTCACAAGGGCCTTGCCTGTGTTCAGAGCAAGTTTCTCTAGCAGCATATCTTTAGTCATATAAGTGTAATTGCCCTTTAAAAAAAAGGGGAGGTATTATAATTTTTAATTCATGACTCATGTCACAAGAAAGCATTCTGTATGGCCCAGCTATTTAACGAAAGAGCATTTGTGCTGGAATATGTAGATTTTATTTTCAGTAACACAGACTTTATTGATGTTTCCCAAACAACCATTAAAAGTTGCTGTGGAATTGTAATCAGACTATAATAGATGATTCACATGTAATTCACAGTGTTTCTGGTGCACTATATTTTTTTTTTTTTTACCTGTCATGCATAGCTGTAATATTAATGACAGACTGCCACCCGGTGTCCAGAAAGGGCTAGAGCTACCTCCAGCTCAGTTACATGCATCAGAACAGCCTTGGCTGTAACCTCTCTTAGTTGAATTTTCCCATGTCAGGAGCTAGAAATGCCACTAGATGCCATGTAGGGGCATTTCACAACATGTTAGTTTGAAGGAGGGATCTTTCCCTCTGCTCCCGGGATAAGTGGGTGGATCAGCTCTCCCTCCTTTTGCTGTGAACATTACACTACATATTTTTACTGTCATGCTTCTCATGGGCAGGAATCCTTTTCTCTAGGAATTTCAAACCCAGGATATTTTTAGAAATCTCCATTTTGAGTGCCCATCATAGACTGCAGAGGAGTGATGTTTTCTTGGAAATTTTCCAGCTACTCACGCTTTTGGGGGAGGGGGGGGGGGGGGCGGTGGGGGGGTAGTGTTTTTTTGGTTTTGATTTATATTCTGATGTTATGCAAGCAGAGACAAAGAAAGAACAGAAACAGTCTTTCTGTTCATCTCGTGTTACTGTGCACTTGCCTAGATCCTGTCCCTAGTGGACTCAGGGATACTCTTCCTTGATGTCATGAGGTAGCAAAGTTACAAAATTTTCTGAAGAGGAAGATAAGCCATTGGGTAGTGTTTTTTTGGTTTTGATTTATATTCTGATGTTATGCAAGCAGAGACAAAGAAAGAACAGAAACAGTCTTTCTGTTCATCTCGTGTTACTGTGCACTTGCCTAGATCCTGTCCCTAGTGGACTCAGGGATACTCTTCCTTGATGTCATGAGGTAGCAAAGTTACAAAATTTTCTGAAGAGGAAGATAAGCCATTGTTATCAGGATCTCCAAGTTCTATTTCAGCCAACAACACTGCTTAATTTTAATGGGCTTAAGATCATTCCCACTCTATGAGAAAGGAACGGAAAAGCTTTGCTGAATTTGGAAACTAAGGATAATTCATTTTGCAAAGCCCTAATTAGTTTAAGAGGTTAAATCTACTGTTTTCAGTAACAGTAACTCTTGGAGCACAGCTTATGCCTCCTTAAGAGTCCTAGACTCAAAGAGCTGGAATCCAGCCCATCTCAAAATTCAGTTTCTGTGGATCTCAGGTTTGGTTATCTTTTCTCCCCCCCCCCGGCATTTCCAATCAAAGTAAAACGGTGGAGATTCCTGTTATCCACCATCACTTTTGAAGCTTTGGCTTACATCTCCTTGAAAATCAAGCACTAGCTTTACCAATATATATAGATACTTAAGGAGCCTAAGTCACACCCTAGTGGGATTTAGGATCCAGAAGATTTCTGATTCATGAGAAGGGACATCCTAGCCTGAGATGGATGTAATGGTTGCTATCCCACCTGCCTGCTGCTTCTCAGAGTATCCTACCCCATCGTCCAGACATTTCAGAAGCTGCCATGTGAACAGCTGAGCAGCTGCAGGCTGCCCATCAGGATGTTTTGGCAGACCACAATCCCCAGGCTGCACCAGTACATACAGGGCTATGAAATGCAGCAGTTCAGCTACTGTGTGGACAACTGAAATGTCTGGGCAGCAGGGATGGGCACTTCAAGAAGCTGGGTGGGCCAAGCAGCCAGGACAAAAACTGCCAGCAAAGCTGTGCTCATTTATCCATCGGGACCTCTGAAGCAGTTATCTTACTTTCAGCTGACCACAAAAGAGT